GGAAAATTTTAGGCTTTAAAGAAAATGTAGTTTTTGACTTATAAATACCGGAAGTGATGTTTCCGGAAGTACAAAACCTTACTTATGGGACACTTTTAGATGTTCTGTTAAATGATTTTGTTTTAAAATACATATGTCCAGTGGTTTTCTTTAAATCCTTGACGTAAAAGTGTTAAGTATAATAATAATAATAACTAGATCTTTTTGTCGTTCAACAAAAACGGAGGGCTTTTCGACCCCTTAAAATAAAAATCTTAAAAGAAAATTCAATATTTTACAATAAAAAAAAATCATAGAATACAATATTGCAAAAGTTCTTTTGAGATCAATTTTTTATTGGAAACATAACAATTCTCTTTGTACATCAATGTCTACTCAAAGAGACATAACTCTTTTGTGGTTATTATACAGATTCGAAAAAGTACTGTTTTTCAATTCACTAAAGCTCCTATAAGGAGTCAAAAAGTGACCCCACTGGCAATATTTTTTAAACTGCATTCCTTATGCTAAATGCAAAACCATAAAAAGTTTAAAGATTGCTTGAAAAATAAAAAAGTTATGGAGAAAAGATTATTTTCTGAATTGAACCCTAAAGTCCTTTCTATTTAAGGGATTTTTCGTTCCATGACCTTACCAACTGGAGACAATGATAGAGTCATTATTCAAGTTAAATATCACGAGAATCGCTCGCTTCCCTTTTGATAAATGGGACATTGTATGATTTCATATTTAACATAGAAATCTCCATAGAGAATTTTAAGGGCCTCATAAAACCGGAAGTACTCTTTATATGCATATCAAAATTGAAACATAGAGAGCATATTAGACTGCAAACAGGTTGACAAAGTGAAATAACTCTTGCATCATTATTTTTAAACTTACTTAAAAATACATAAATTCAGGTCTCTAAAACACCCATAAGGGATCAAAAAATGACCCCACGGACCATTATTTTTAAATTCAGCTTTTTATGCTTAACTCAAATCCGAAAACAGTGTGAAGATTTATGGACAAATAAAAAAGTTATAAACAAAAAACTTATTTCTGTATTGACCCCTAAAACCCCTTCTATTTTAAGAAATTTTATTTTCATGACCTAAGCACCGAAAAGTAATGCTAAAGTAGTTTTTCATGTGAAATATCGTGAGACTTGCTTGATTCCAATTGAAAATAATGGACATCGTATGATTTCAAATTTAACATAGAAATCTCCATAGGCAATTTTAAGGTACTTATAAAACCGGAAGTACTCTGCATATCCATACCAAAATTGAAACAAAGAGAGCATATTAGACTCCAAACAGGTTGACAAAGGGAGATAACTCTTGCACAAATATTTTTGAAAATACTTAAAAATACAAAATTTCAGGTCTCTAAAAGTCCTTTAAGGGGTCAAAAAGTGACCCCACGGACCATAATTTTTAAATTGCTCTTCTTATGCTGAACTCAAAACAGAAATCAGTTTTAATATTGATAGATAAATAAAAAAGTTATATACAAAAATCTGATTTCTTTACTGACCCCTAAAATCCCTTTTATTTTAAGAAATTTTATTTTCATGACCTAACCAGCCGAAGACAATACTAAAGTTATTATTCTTGTGAAATATCATGAGACTTGCTTGCTTCCCTTTGGAAATAAAAAAAAATTATGATTTTAAATTTAACATACAAATCTCCATAGTCAACTTTAAGGTACTTATAAAACCGGAAGTACTCCACATATCCATACCAAAATTGAAACATAGAGAGTATATTCGACTCCAAACAGGTTGACAAAGGGAAATAACTCTTGCACAAATATTTTTGAAAATACCTAAAAATACAAAATTTCAGATGTCTAAAAGTCCTTTAAGGGGTCAAAAACTGACCCCACGGACCAGTATTTTTAAATTTCCCTTTTTATGCTCAACTCAAAACAGAAATCAGTTTGAAGATCTATGGACAAATAAAAAAGAAATATACAAAAAACTAATTTCTGTACTGACCCCTAAAATCCCTTTTATTTTAAGAAATTTTATTTTCATGACCTGAATACCGAAAAGCAATGGTAAGGAAATTTTTCATGTGAAATATCATGAGACTTTCTTGCTTCATGTTGAAAATAATGGACATTACATAATTTCAAATTTAACATAGAAATCTCCATAGGCAAATTTAAGGTATTTATAAAACCGGAAGTGCTCTACAGATCCATACCGAAATTGAAACATAGAGAGCATGTTAGACTCCAAACAGTTTCACAAAGGGAGATAACTCTTGCACAATTTTTTTTAAATTCCTTAAAAATACAAAATTTTAGGTCTCTAAAACACCTATAAGGGATCAAAAAGTGACCCCACGGACCATTTCTTTTAAATTGACCCCCCTATGCTTCACTCAAAACTGAAATCACTTTGAAGATTGATGGATATATAAAAAAGTAATATACAAAAAACTATTTTCTGTACTGACTCCTAAAATCCCTTTCATTTTAAGAAATTTTATCTTCATGACTTAACCACCAGAACGCAATACTGAAGTAATTTTTCATGTGAAATATCATGAGACTTGCTTGCTTTCCTTTGGAAATAATGGACATTGCATGATTTCAAATTTAACATAGAAATCTCCATAGGCAAATTTAAGGTACTTATAAAACCGGAAGTACAAATCACATTTATACCAAAATTAAAACATTGAGAGCATATTAGACCCCAAATAGGTTGACAAAGGGAGATAACTCTTGCACAAGTATTTTAGAAAATGCTTTAAAATACAAATTTTCAGGTCTCTAAAAGTCCTTCAAGGGGTAAAAAAGTGACCCCACGGACCATAATTTTTAAATTGTACTTTTTATGCTTAACTCAAAACTGAAATCAGTTTGAAGATTGGTTGACAAATAAAAAAGTAATATACAAAAAACTAATTTCTGTACTTACCCCTAAAATCCCTTTTATTTTAAGAAATTTTATTTTCTGGATCTAAATATTGAAAGACAATGCTAAAGTCATTATGTATGTGAAATATTATGAGACCTGCTTGCTTCCCTTTGAAAATAATGGACATTGAATGATTTCAAATTTAACATAGAAATCTCCATAGGCAATTTTAAGGTACTTATAAAACCGGAAGTTCTCCACATATCCTTACCAAAACTGAAACATAGCGAGCATATTAGACTCCAAACAGGTTGACAAAGGGAGATTACTCTTGCACAATTATTTTTTTAAAATACTTAAAAATACAACATTTCAAGTCTCTAAAAGTCCTTTAAGGGGTGAAAAAGTGACCCCACGGACCATAATTTTTAAATTGTTCTTCTTATGTTGAACTCAAAACTGAAATCAGTTTGAAGATTGGTTTATAAATAAAAAAGTTACAGGGCAAAAACGGTTTTTAGAGTTGACCCCAAAAAATCCCTAACTTTTAGGGAATTGGTTTTCATAACCTTTTCTTATGAAGACAATGTTCAATTAGTTATCACCTATAAATATTAACTTCGTTTGGGGAACATAACTATCACACAGCTTCATTTTATTCAAGAACATTAATACTCCTATAATGTAATATATACATGTTTGCATGTCTGATTTGTATTTCAAAAATAATTGACACTTTATTTGCTTTTGAGGGATGGCAGCAGTTTTAACATACAATGTTTTTTTTAAATTTTATTTGGAACCATTTTCATCAATCAATAAGGCTTTAAAAGACAACCCTAATTTTTTACATACATGTATATAACGTGCAAAAAACTAGCATTTCGTGTAAAGACATGCATTATTCCATTGTTAACAACAAACAACATTTACAGACAGATTCCAATACTGTTAAGAAAACATAAACAAAATAAACAATTATTTAGGATATTCTGACGCTAAGATATTTGAAAGACATTCAACATGAAATATGATTCTGATTATACAGTGTAAAAGCAAATGTAAGAAATTGGACAGTAAACATTTAAATTTTGCTCATTGAACAATTTTCAATAACGAAAATAATATTGATTTATCTTGGGTATTTATATTGTTGTTCCTCAAACGAGACGTTCCACAAAAATGGACATTTAGCACACTTTCAAAGTACGAAACATTGCTTGTGTTTCTTGGAGATTGGAGTTAGAGATACTGCAAGGTTAACGTTTATAATGTTCATATCATTTGAGCAGCTAATTGTAGATTTGTATAAAAAGACAATTTTGATTTGATTCCTAACTTTAGAATATTGGCTTCATGTATTAGATTAACAGTAACTTAATTATTTATAATTATGAAAGAAAATTTAAATGCCTGTACCAATAATTATAAATTATACAGATAAATAAATTTTATGAATACATGTAAATTGATGCTGTTCTACTTATGTAATAATCTGTTTTAAAGGTTCATATATATCGTTATAAAAAATATCTCTAGTGTCTTAACTTTTAATAAAATGTTTAAGAAGTATTGGCCCACAAAATTATGGAAATAATATAATCATATATATGATATTCATTCATTTTATAATCTCTTGAATATTATCATGTAAATTTGCACCAGTATTATTTACAACATGGAACTTTTTCAATTGCTTGAATAAAAATCTGTAAATTACTGTCATTCACAATCAGTAGTTTCCAAAATACATCATGATATGATATTACAATAAATACATCAATATCAATAAGAAACTTAAAATTACTTTTTAAAACGTAAAGAAATAAATGTGGAATATCCAATACATTTATATCAAATATACATAATTTACTCCACTTCAGTAGATATGTACGTCTTCAACTTTAACTTTACCATATAAACATCAAAAGTATAAGCAGGCAGAAAACCCAAACGATTTGATCTTTTCCTTATTCCCTGTTTAAATAGTTTTGCTTTAAAAATACATGGATTTATTAATATATAAGGTCTATTTCGTTCACAAGCACAAAGGCTGTGAGAGACATTTTAGTAGACTTTTTTTCTTTTCCTAAAGTCCGGTAAACATGTCTATCAATAATTAAATAGGTTACTTTTACCTTTAAAGTCCATAAAGAACTGCTTCGTTGCCATATTTGTCTTCGACATCCACTAAGTTAGGATACATTTCGACCAAAAACTTATACATTACTATTTCCCTATTTATACAACACATATGTAAAACAGTCTTCCCGTCATTTCTAGCGGTATTAATATTTAAGCCTTTCTCTAAAAGAAATTTGAATAAATCAATGTCACCACCCCAGGCTGCACTATGTAAGGCATTCTCACCATTATTGTCGGTGACATCGAGTAAAAAAGGATACGTGTTTGCCAAGTATTTACACATATCCTTAATCTTCTTACCGTTCATGCAACACAAATGAAGCACAGTTTTTCCATTATTAATAGTGCTTTTGATATCTAAGTCCTTCTCTAAGAGAAAAATAACAAGATCAAAATTACCACTCCAGGCTGCACCATGCAAGGCATTCACACCATTATTGTCTGTGATGTCGAGTAAAAAAGGATATGTGTTGACCAAGTATTTGCACATATCTATCTTACTGTTCAAACAGCATTGATGCAGCACAGTTTTCCCGCCTTTTCTAGCGATATTGATATCTGAGCCTTTATCTAAGAGGAACTTAAGTATTTCAACGTTACCACTCCAGGCTGCATCATGTAAGGCATTCTGACCATTATTGTCAGTGACATCGAGTAAGAAAGGATATGTGTTGACCAAGTATTTGCACATATCTATCTTACTATTTAAACAGCACAAATGTAGCACAGTTGACCCGTCATTTCTAGTACATTTGATATCTAAGCCTTTCCCTAATAGGAACTTAAGTATTTCAACGTTACAACTCCAAGCTGCATCATGTAAGGCATTCCCACCATCAATGTCGGTGACATCGAGTAAGAAAGGATATGTGTTGACCAAGTATTTGCACATATCTATTTTACTGTTTAAACAGCACAGATGCAGCACAGTTTTCCCGTCTTTTCTAGCGCTATTGATATCTGAGCCTTTATCTAAGAGGAACTTAAGTATTTCAACGTTACCACTCCAGGCTGCATCATGTAAGGCATTCTGACCATTATTGTCAGTGACATTAAGTAAGTCAGGATATGTGTTGACCAAGTATTTGCACATATCTATCTTACTATTTAAACAGCACAAATGTAGCACAGTTGACCCGTCATTTCTAGTACATTTGATATCTAAGCCTTTCTCTACTAGGAATATAACCAGATAAACATAACCACTCTGGGCTGCTTTATGTAAGGCATTCTCACCATTATTGTTAGTGACATAAAGTAAATCAGAATATGTGTTGACCAAGTATTTGCACATATCTATATTTCTCTTCAAACAGCACAGGTGGAGCACAGATGACCCGTCTTTTCCAGTACATTTGATATCTAAGCCTTTCTCTAATAGGAACGTAAGTATTTTAATGTTACCACTCCAAGCTGCATCATGTAAGGCATTCCCACCATCAATGTCAGTGACATCGAGTAAGAAAGGATATGTGTTGACCAAGTATTTGCACATATCTATATTTCTCTTCAAACAGCACAGGTGTAGCACAGATGACCCGTCTTTTCTAGTACATTTGATATCTAAGCCTTTCTCTAATAGGAACTTAAGTATTTCAACGTTACCACTCCAAGCTGCATCATGTAAGGCATTCCCACCATCAATGTCAGTGACATCGAGTAAGAAAGGATATGTGTTGACCAAGTATTTGCACATAACTATTTTACTGTTTAAACAGCACAGATGCAGCACAGTTTTCCCGTCTTTTCTAGCGATATTGATATCTGAGCCTTTATCTAAGAGGAACTTAAGTATTTCAACGTTACCACTCCAGGCTGCATCATGTAAGGCATTCTGACCATTATTGTCAGTGACATTAAGTAAGTCAGGATATGTGTTGACCAAGTATTTGCAAATATCTGTCTTACTATTTAAACAGCACAAATGTAGCACAGTTGACCCGTCATTTCTAGTACATTTGATATCTAAGCCTTTCTCTACTAGGAATATAACCAGATCAACATAACCACTCCAGGCTGCTTTATGTAAGGCACTCTCACCATTATTGTTAGTGACATAAAGTAAGTCAGAATATGTGTTGACCAAGTATTTGCACATATTTATATTTCTCTTCAAACAGCACAGGTGTAGCACAGATGACCCGTCATTTCTAGTACTTTTGATATCTAAGCCTTTCTCTACTAGGAATATAATTAGATCAACATTACCACTCCAGGTTGCACCATGTAAGGCATTCAGACCATCTTTGTAAGTGACATGGAGTAAGTCAGGATATGTGTTGACCAAATATTTGCACATGTTCATCTTACCATTATTACAACATTGATGGAGCACAGTTGACCCGTCATTTCCAGTACTTTTGATATCCAAGCCTTTTTCTACTAGGAATATAATTAGATCAACATTACCACCCAAAGCGGCATCATGTAACACATTCTGACCATTATTGTCAGTGATGTCCAGTAGATAAGGGTACGTTTTGACAAGATATTTGCACATTTCTATCTTACCAGTATAACAACACAGATTTAGTACAGTTTTTCCTTCATTTTGTTTTTCATCAATGTTCAACTTTTTCTTCAACAGATACTTCAGCAAATCAGTGTTACCTCCCCAAGCAGCTGTATGTAAGACACTATTGCCATTTATGTCTTTGACAGTCAGTAAATGTGGAAATCTGTCGAGGAGCATCTTACTCATCTCAAATCTTCCATAACGACAGGCAGTGTGTAATACAGTTTGGCCTGTTTCAGAGGAAATAGTCATCTTTTGTTTTTTAAAAATATGAAACAATTCAATATTACCCCCAGCAGCAGCCATATGTAGAATAGATCCATCCCTGTATAAATCATGTTCTTCATTCAAAAGATCAGGGTATTGACTCATTATATACTTTGCTGTTTCAAGTTTTCCGTTCTCACATGCACAATGAAGAATTGATGCCCCTAAATGAGTCTTAAGGTATGGGTTACACTTATGGTCGACAATAAGTGAGTTAAGTGCATCTGTTGCGCCTGAGTAGGCAACAAAATGAATGGTAGAATCGCCAACGTCATTTTTTTCATTGCTAAGAGCAGGACAAATTTTCAGTAGAAAAGATATTAATTCCAGTCTCTCCCATAAACAAGATTCCGCTAATATGGAAACAGAATTGTTGTCATAAAGTGGGTGGCGAGACTCAGAAACCTGCGATAAATCAAGACCAGTATTTATTATTTGTACCACTATATCCTTGTTTCCATTCTGTATAGCGCAGAAACAGCTTTTGGTGTCGGGAGTGACTCCTTCGTCCAAAAGAATCTGAACTACATTGCTATGATTCATCAATGCTGATTGATTCAATGCATTGTACCTTTGTTTTTCATCTCTTATGATCTTCAATAGGAATTTAACCATTTCAATATGACCTGCCTCTGCAAAATGAATCAGCAATGATGCACCGTTTTCGTCAAATTTAGTTAGGACAGATTGTTCTTTACCCACAAAATCTTTAAACGCAGTGCAAAAATTCTTGTTTTTCCAAAAATGGAAACAGGATATTACTTTGAAAGCTTCACTATATGTATTACATTTGAGATTATGAACAATTTTTTTAAAGATCTCAGCAAAGAAACTTTGGTCAATTGTTTGTAAGTTTGTTATTTTTTCTCCATTTTCTGCAATATGGAGATTGATTAAAATTGGCAAGTGGCAATACTGGATAACGAAAGAAAGATCATATTTAATGAGGGTATTCTGAATAACATTCTGAATACAACTATGTGAAAACTTACACGACCCATTTTCGTCAATTAAAAATG